GAGCTCTGTCCGCACCTGAGGGGGTCCTCATACAGGTACGGTGGTCAGTGAGCCGTTTCCCGGCAGTGGTGGAGGGTCTGAAGATGGATCCGTCTTTGGCAGTGTTGGTGGTGAAATTGGACCTCGGTTCTTTTAAAAAATGTATTTTTGTTGATTTCAGAGAGGAAGGGAGAGGGAGAGAGAGAGAAACATCAATGATGAGAGAAAATCATCGATTGGAGGCCTCCTGCCTGCGCCCCGACCAGGGCCGGGGATTGAGCCTGCAATGGATGGACCTGGGTTCCTGAGTTCAGCAAAGAAAGATCCAGAGCCCAGAACTCAAATGATAAGAACAAGTTTATCTAGAAGTCACAGCGGTGGGAGAAGTGAGCCGCAGAAGAAATGGGCTCAGGAAACAGGTTACAGAAGCAAAGGCAGGGCCCTGGGAGCTTGGGAGAGGGCAGGGAAAGGGCCGCGCCTGCGGGTGAGGAGAGGGGCTGGAAGGCGCAGGGGTGCCCGGGGAGGGAGGGAGCGTCCTTGCCCATCATGCGCCGAGCAGTGGGTGGGAGCCACCCCAGGGGCCCCGGCCAGGTGTGTGGTTAGGCCGCTCTCTCCACACGGAGCGCACACAGCCAGGCTGCCGTCAGCACACGCGTCCGCGCCATCCCACGTACCGTGAGCAGTGAGGACCGTGGGAGAGTCAGTGCGATGACCACCTAGATCAGAGACTTACCTTTCAGTAAGTTCAGAATTAAAGGAGGGACATTAGCGCTGGTCCTGGGAGTCAAACTGCCCAGGTTCTCACAGGCAGCCTGTCCCACCCGCTGTCCCAGCAGACACTGCAGGGAGCCCGTCCCAGGCACTCCCTCCACGCGGGCACGGCGGCAGTGCAGACCCAGCGGCCAGGTTGATGGTGTATTTCTGCTTAAGTGGCAGTTCAGGGAGGAAGGGATTCCCCACACTCCAGTGCTGGTTCCCAGGAAGAGACATAAGGGCGATCAGACACAGGCTCCGCAGGCACGTCGGGGGGGAGGGCCTCCCCTGCAATCATGACCATAGCAGTCACACGTGTGCAGCCTGTGGGCCTGGGCCGGCCGTACATCCCGGGCACATTGCCCAGGGGGTGGGGGACCGGGGCTATTTGCAATCTGAGTGGGCGGCACAGACCGTGCCCAGCAGCCAGTTGCAGCCAGGGCCCTTTAGTACTGGCCAGTGCCCGTTGTCCAGTGGTTCTCAACCTTCCTAATGCCGCGACCCTTTAATATAGTTCCTCATGTTGTGGTGACCCCCAACCATAAAATTATTTTCGTTGCTGCTTCATAACTGAAATTTTGCTACCATTATGAATCGTAATGTAAATATCTGATATGCAGGATGTATTTTCATTGTTACAAATTGAACATAATTAAAGCATAGTGATTCATCACAAAAGCAATATGTAATTATAGATGTGTTTTCTGATGGTCTTAGGTGACCCCTGTGAAAGGGTTGTTCGACCCCCAAAGGGGTCACGACCCACAGGTTGAGAACCGCTGCCGTAGTCATACACAGGGCATCTGGCCGGATTCCAGCAGGGTCCGCGGGAGCCACGCTAGCTGGCCAGGGCAGTCCTCACTCTCTGGCAGGAAGTATCCTATCCAACCGGGGGAGTGCCAGTCCGAGCCCTATTCTAGTGTCCCCTCCCCTGGTCTGCCATCTCAGGAGCTCTGAAGAGTAGTGAGGCCTGAAGTGGGCCTGGAAGACATTGGCCCCAGCGTAGCATGTAACTAACTCACTGCCCGGAGGACGGTGGGAGGAGCTCTGCGCTGCAGCGAATATGCGAGCCGTTTCCGCGGGCAGAGCCTCGGGTGGCCTCGAAGCAGGTCTTGTGAATAACCCTTCTAGCCACCTCCCGACGGGCTGCGACTGGCTGGACGTTGGGAGGAGGCCGCACCTGGGGGAGAGCTGTGTTCATGGCCGACAGCTGCTGTCCCACTGGGTGCAGCTAATATTGGCCTCTCTGCAATGGGGACCCAGAGCTAAGGGGCGTCGGCTCCTTTTGCGTTTGTTATTGTTGTTGCCATCGTGTCCAGCCTGGGGTCCCTGACACATCTACTCAGATGGCAACTCCACCTGAGATCCCAAGAGCTTTAATCTGTTCACCCAGCACATTTGCTTTCTCAGAGGCGGCCTGTGACTCGGTATCATCCCACATATGCCTGTGCCCCTTCTTATCTAGGTGCTATAGTGGGTGAAGGCACCGCACTAAATGGGGTATAAAATTGACCAATACCCCAGAGTTCCCACACGAACCCTGCCTCCTTCACGTTTCTGGGTATGGGGGAGGCTTGTACTTTGTCTCAGTCTCAGCGACAACGCAGGTCTTACCCAACCCCACAACGCCCCAAACTTGACTGCGGTGCCTGGACCTTGAGCTCTTGTGGATCACCACATCCTCTCTGCTGGAGACGGGCCAGGAAGCCTGCGGGGGGCTCCGCAGCAGGGCCACATCTTCACAGGATACGGGACAGCAATGAATGAGCCCATTTCACAGCCTTCGGGAAGGAAGACAGAGGCAGGCTCTGAGCCACTGCCGCACGGCGTATGGTGGGCCAGGTAAACAGCACTGGGGGAGCACTGAAAAGTATATGCCAAGTGGGAAACACATTTTCTTTTCTTAAAAACATTTTTATTGACCTTATTGGGGTCCATCTCTAGGGTCCATCTTTGAGGTCTGGTGTCCAGTGTCCAGCTCCAGGATCTGGCTCAGTGGATAGAGCATTGGCCTGCAGACTAAAGGGTCCTGGGTTTGATTCCAGTCAAGGGCACATGCCCGGTTGGCAGGCTCAATCCCCAGTAGGGGGCGTGCAGGAGGCAGCCGGTCAATGATTCTCTGTCATCATTGATGTTTCTATCTCTGGGGTCCAGGCGCAGGGTACTGGTTCTGGGGTTTGAGTTAGGGTAAGTAGTCACGATTAAGGGAAGGGGATGGGGTAAGGATTGGGAGGTTAGAAAAAGGATTTAGGTTTAGGGTTTAGGGGTTTTGACATTTGGGTTTAGGATTAGGAGGTAAAGATTAGGGGTTTGGGGTAGCAGTTTAGTGGTAGGGGTTGGAGTTTATGGTTATTGTTATGGCTTAGGGTTAGGGATTAGGGTTGGAGTTAGGGTTTAGGGCTGGGGTTGGAGTTAGGGTTGGGGTATGGGGCTTGGGGTTAAAGGTTAGGGGGTTAGGGTTTAGGGTATAGGGTTAGGGTTTTGGATTAGGGTTGGGGTTAGGGTTCAGGGTTAGAATTTATGTGGAAATATTTCTGGCCGAAGAATTGTGCAGTCATTCGCTGATGGATGACTTCCATCTGGAAAACACGTTGTCAGTAATTTAGGAAGCCATGTGGATTTATTTTTAGGAAACAAACTACTTTTTGGACCCATCACCTCTGCCAGGTCAAATCCCCCTTTCGCCTGGGAGTCCTGAGCCGTAAGTTCATAGAACACTCCCAGGAATTAATAAACACTGGCAACCCGCTCTCCTCACGCAAAGCCTTATTAGAGCAGAGGAACCAAGGTTTCCGTAAGCTCCAGCTCCAGAAGGCCCAGCGTGTCTGCCTTCACTCAGCCCTCACAGCAGCAGCACGAAGAGGATCACAATTCTGGGGTTTGGCCCTGGCCAGTGTGGATCAATGGTTAGAGCCTCAGCCTATGCACCAAAGGGTCATGGGTTCGAAACCCATTCAAGGGCACATACCTGGTTTGCAGGTTCCTTCCCCTGGGAAGCAACCAATCAATGTGTCTCTCTCACCTCAATCTCTCTCTCTCTCTCTCTCTCTCTCTCTCTCTCTCTCTCTTTCTCTCTCTCTCCCTCTCCCTCTCCCTCCCACACACTCTAGAATGCAATAGAAAAAATATCCTCAGGTGAGGATTAAAAAAAAAGACCTAAGAAAATATTCTGGGGTTTGTACGTTTTCCTTTCCTTATCCAGAGATAGTTCAAAGAGATGCTTTTCTTTTTAAAATATATTTTTATTGATTTCAGAGAGGAAGGAAGATGGTGCAGAGATAGAAACATCCATGATGATAGAGAATCACTGATTAGCTGCCTCCTGCATGCCTCCTAGTGGGGCTCGAGCCCACAACCTGGGCATGTGCCCAAACCAGGAATCGAACCGGAACCTCCTGGTTCATAGGCTGATGCTCAACCACTGAGCCAAGCCAGCTGGGTCAATGAGCTGCTTCTCATTAGGGCCTTTGGCAAGCTGCCCACAGTGTCTTTTGGGGGCTGCCGTGAGCTTCATGATGTAGAACGGTGGCTTTGCCTCTCATCACATACATACCCTATTGAACCTTCAATCACATTAGAAAAATAGCAGGTGAGTTGCCTGTCGTTAAAGGGCTTGGACTGCACAGAGGGCACACATATCAGCAACCTGCGCTCTATGTTAAAGGGTGTCCTGACACGTTTGGGGGTATTTGGAGTTCTTCTAAGGAGAGTACAAGACAAGCCTCCTGCCCACCCTGGGGTGTAAGGTCGGTGGAGTCACAGCAGTTCTTCGTGCTGGTGGGTACCACTGAGACAGGTCTGTGCCTACTGGGAATTGAACATTTACGTTAGCAGTTACTCCTGCTCTGGAGAGCGTCAGCCTATCTTGGGTAACGTTGAACACTCAGAAGCACCGTTAAGGTGAAAAGACAGGATTAGGGAGGGAAGATGCTGTAAGGCTGTCTAGGGTGCAGTACGCTGCTTGGCTGGGACTCTCCCTCCGCGCCTCTGCTGTGGTCGGGCTGCACTTCCTCACCGCTCGGCGGTCTCAGTGCAGTTGGTGGCTTGGGGCTGCTGAGGGGCGGAAGCAGAGTGTTCTCGGTGCCTGTGGCCCAGGTGGCACAGCTTCGCGCCCTTTGCATTCCGGGAGTTAAACTGCTTCACAGGCCCAGGGCAGACTCGGGGGAGGGCTGCACAGGACTGTGAACCAGGGAGATGGTTCATGCGGGGCCATCCTTGGGACCAGCTACCGTGGAGGACATGCCTGCCCTTGGCCTCCCCACCCCCAGGCTCCTTGTGAGGAATGTGAGGAGGAGTGGATAAAGCTGGAGGAAAATCAGTGAGAGCTGTGGTTGGGCCTTGCATGCCAGCCTGGAGAGTAAACTTCTAACGCATAAATGATCCATGGACTTTGAGGATGGCGCTGGTGGGAGGAGTGAGCAGAGGTCTTCCTCTCCGTGGGCCTCTTTCTGGATTTCCCCTGCGTGTCTTACCGGCCAGACCCGAATCACCTCGCCACCCCGTGCTGCAAAGGAGCCGGGACAGTGGGGATCTGCGAAGGGGTTAGGATTGCTGTACTGGCTTTGTCAATCACGAGTCAGTCTCCGGGCAGGGCCTCTGCAGCTGGATGAAGTGGAGGGAAGAGGGAACAGTGGGGCTGGGTGGCTCTGCACAGAGGCTGCCACCAGCAACAGAAAGCAGGGAAGGAGGTCCCCTTGGTTTGGGCGAGAGGGAGTTAGGGCTGGACCAGGGCAGAAGCAGTGGGAGAGGGAGTTAGGGCTGGACCAGGGCAGAAGCAGTGGGAGAGGGAAGTGGGCCAGATGCGAAGAGGAATGCAGAGGAGAAGCGGACAGACCACGGCGGCTCCTGGCTGTCTTCCGTGAGAGAGACGGGGAAAGAGAAAGAGAGAGAGACAGAGACAGAGACAGAGAGGGAAGCCAAAGATGACAGCATCGTTTCCAACTTGCTTAACTGGAGGCCACACCTTCACTGAGGCTGAGCACAGAGGGCAGCAGGGCTGGAGAAGGGTGATGACTTTGGTCGTAGGCCTTTGGGGTTGGAGGGGTCAGAGGGAGAGCGGGGGACATGCCTGCATGGTGTGGGCACCAAGCACTGGACATGCGAGCCCGGGCAGGGCCAGGTGTAGGGACGGGGCATCAGCACAGCGCTGCAGGCACAGCCAAGTTATCGCCGCGGCCTCTGCTCACACGTGGCCCGCCAGCACGTGCATCTCCAAGGGCTCCTACAGGGTCCTCCTGGGACGGGGGGGCCGGGCGGAGTAGATCCGGGGGGATGTCCGCTGACTATGTACGTACACACGCTGAAGCTTTGCATGTGGACATGTATCCAATGAGGGAAGGTGAGTTTCTGAATGAGCTGAGCAGTGAGGACATGGGGAACGATTCTGTTTAGAGGACAGGATGAAAAGGAAGAGAAGAACCTGACTAGAGAGTCGGTTCCGAGTCCTGTGAGTCAACGCAGGCGAACGTTCCACGAAGAAGGAGCGGCTGCTGAGCTGGAGGAGAGGAGCGAGGACCGGAGAGGAGGCCTGTGTGCTCAGTGCCGCTGCCGGTGCTCACAGTGCGTAAGCGCGGAGACGAACTATGGTCAGATTCACGGAAGCGTGGTGACGCCAGCAGAGAGCACCCAGCTCAGGAAGCATTGGCACAGAGAGGACATTTCTTGGCTACAAGTGACCGATCATATCCTGCATGTATATCCCGCCCCTCCCTGGTGACCTCCTAGTCACCCCTCAGCCCCTGCTTAAGCTGCACCTCATCGGTGCAGACTTCCTGGAATTCTTCTCCTTAGGGCAGAAGCAGCGACTCCTCGTTCTGCATGCCCACCGACCCGTGCATGCAGCTGTCAGGCCAGGCTGGCTTCTCCCTGGATGTACGGAACGCCGTGGGAGTGTGTTATTCCGAATAAAACTGAGTCTGATGCCAAGCCCTCCAGCCCCAGAGTATAATCAATTACTCTCTGTGGCTGCTGGCGTCTCTCCCTGCCTCCAGGGCGAAAGGGAGGGCGGAGGCGCCACGTGCAGGGCAGAGACTCAGGGAGAGCCGTGGTCCAAGTCCAAGTCTGCCTGCCCTGCGAGGCGGGGTCCTCGCTGCTCCTTCCCAGCTTGGGCACGAGTGCCCAGGCAGCGCGGGGGGAGGCCTTCTCTCAGAGCATCATATACAGCGAGGCACACTGCATTGTAACAAAATGCCTGCACCCCTCCTCCCAGTTTGGGGAGCTCACCCCCGCCTGAGGCGAGAGGGAGTTAGGGCCTGGACCAGGGCGGAAGCATGCCCTCATGGTAATGGCAGAAATAAGCCCAGTCATGGAAGTGAACTTCAAGCTTCTGCCCCATCACATCTGCTAACATCCCATTGGCCAAAACGAGTCACGTGGCTGAGCTCGCAGTCCCAGTGAGATGCTTCCACGGCAAGGAGAGTGGGTACAGGGGAGGAGGGGTAGAACTGGGACCATCATTGCAATCCCCTACAAACGTGTTCTAACTTCATATTCAGAAAAGCAGTATAGCTGGTACTGTGCAAGATGGCTGCCAGGGCTCCAGCCCCAATCCTCCGCTGGTACAGGTGAGAGACGCCCGTGGAAAGAGGAGGCTGGCTATTTCAGCCCTGGAAAAATCTCAAAGCATCTTATTGGCTCTGATGGGTCACATGCCCATCTCTGACCAAATCACTACGGCTGAGGGACCACAGTGTTCTGATGGGCCACTCCTGAATCACCGCCCACTTTGGGGGTTGGGGTGGAGTTGTCTGGACTGAGAGCTGGAGAGGGTGCTCTTCAGAGGAATATCAAGGATGCTGCCGGAGGGGCCGACTCAGATAAGATGGCCCAGGGGCTCCTGAGACGAGGGCTGGAGTGCACTTCCTTGGCACGGGGGATGGTCCCAGAAGACACTGAGGGAGTGGGGAAGTGAAGGAGGAGGGAAAGAAGCCAGTGAGGTGTGTCCATGAGCGGGGGACCGGGACTTCGTCTCTCTGGGACCTCTGGGAGGCTGCTGACCGTGTGTCAGAGCTGCCCCCCGCATTCCCTGAGAAGTGAGGACCCGGGTGTTCATCCCCCGATTCCAATCATTGCTGCTGAGGCCTGCCCTTGTGGGCATCAACGCTCATACACCCTCTGCTCAGGTGAAGCTGGCTCCTGTGGCCAGAGAATGCCTTGGGCAGAGTCTCCGGTGCCGGCAGCGAGCGGCTGGGACTGGTAAGTGGGAGAGGATGTGGGCGGGGCATCGACAGTGCCTACTGCAGAGGGAAAAACAGGCCATGGTGCCAACCAGCTGTTAGGACAGGGGCTCATTTTGGTCTGGGTCCTTCTCTCAAGGAAAGGAGGCCATCGGTGCCGCCTCTGGGTAGAGTCCCAGAGAAGAAGAAAGCAGAGGGGGAAGGGACAGGCTGTGGAGCAGGGCAGACATGCGGGGTCGGCCAGTGTCCTCACGTGCAGGCTGTGAGACCCTGGGCAAGTTACTTCACCTCCCAGAGCCTCACCTGACTCATCTATACAATGGGAATGCATATGTTGTGTGAAGATTAAATGAGACAGTTGATTATGTCGCTCTAGGCACAGGGTAAGTGTCTAAGGAACGAGAGCTACCGGGCTGCGTGCAGTCTGGAGGAATGACGATTCCCCAAGAGCTGTGTCTGAGTGTCCTGGGACAAGGCGAAGGGAGGGGACCCAGCCAGGGGGTAAGCTGAGTTAAACACTGAAGACGAGGCTGGCACTAACGGCCAGCAAAGGACGTCAGCGAGGACAAGCACCGAGTGTGGCCAGAGGCCCCAGAGGACCCAAGATGAACTCTGGAACTGGGAAGCCACTCCATCAGGGCTCGATCCCCAGTGTGGGGTGTGCAGGAGGCAGCCAATCAATGATTCTCTCATCATTGATGTTTCTATCTCTCACTCCCTCTCATTTCCTTTCTGAAATCAATAAAAATATATTAAAAAAAGAAAAAGAAAAAGAAAAAAAAAAAGAATTCTCTCTGGGTCCCCAGCACTGCCGGGCCTGAGTCTGCCCATCTCCGACCTCCCCTCCTTCTGCGCTCCCCTCCTCAAGGCTCTCCAGCCAACCTGGCCTTCAGTCATCCCTGTAACATGCTAAGTTAGTTCCCACCCCAGGGCCTTTGCACTTGCTGCTCTCTCTCCCTAAACTAGTTTTGCCCCCTGTCCTCTTCAGGGTCTCAGCTCCAACGCCTGCCCTTAAGGATACGTGCAAGCCGCCAGCCCCCCTGGCCTAATAGGTCCCCCTTTTTGCTTTCTTCTTGGGGCCGCTTGTTCCCTGAAATCCTTTATCCATTTAGTGGTTTTCCCACCTTCTGGCTGCATCAGGGCTCTTATGTGCCCAGTGGTTAGTGGCCTATGGAGCCTGGGTTCGAATGCCACACCCGCTGCGACTCTGAGCGAGCTTCCCTCAGGGTTCTGTGCCTCCGTTTGCCGGTCTCTGAAATGGGTGGGAGTAACCGAGTTCCTCACTGGGCAGTTGTGAGCATTAACCGAGTCCATGCGGGCCCTGAGCACAGGGTGTCGGGGTACCAGCTGTTGAGAACGGTGTTTTACCGTCTAAATCTGCCCGGAGCTCGACATACAGCAGGCGCTCAGGCAACATGTGGGAGGGATGAGCACCCACTGGCACTTAGCAGTCCTTGGGCTGCTGGGGGAGGCGAGAAGTAAAGGTGCCCAACCCTCAGCCCCAAACGCACTGCCCCTGCCGGGAGACGGGGGTGGGGGTGGGGGTGGGGAGAGGGAGGAGGGGGAGGGGAGGAGGGGGGGCGAGCAGGAAGGACAGCGGGAGAGGCGCAGGGACCGGCCGCAGCGAATGGGCCTGGTCGGGACGGGCTTTCATTCTGAGAGCACCGGGAACTACTGCGGGCTCCCGAGGGCGCGGCCTCGCGGCTGCGGGGGAGACCGGGAGCGGGGGGC